CAGTTTTCTGCCCACAGTCCTACGATGTTGTGTGCTGGAGCAGTTCGAGTTTCGTAGATATTTGTTAATAGTGACTAACCACGGACTGGACTACCGGGGTTCAATCCCCGAAAGAGTCATTGGATTTCTCCTCTAGCCTCTGCGTCCAGACCGGCCCCTTTCAGTTTTCTGCCCACAGTCCTACGATGTTGTGTGCTGGAGCAGTTCGAGTTTCGTAGATATTTGTTAATAGTGACTAACCACGGACTGGACTACCGGGGTTCAATCCCCGAAAGAGTCATTGGATTTCTCCTCTAGCCTCTGCGTCCAGACCGGTTCTGGGGCCCACCCAGCCTCCTGTCCAATGGGTACCGGGGTCCTTTCCCGGGGGTAAAGCGCGGCCGGGGCGTGACACTGATCACTTACCCTTATCTAGAGCCGAAGTCAAAAATGAGTAGGAGCTATACCTCCACTCCCCAGAAGCGCCTACATGGCGTGTAGTGGGACAGCTTTACTTTACTTCTCCTGGCTCTAGAATGCTATGCTATTCTTTAAGGCAGTGGTATTCAACCTTTTTTGTTCGCGTACCCCCAGATATAATTTCCCTTCAACTTTGTACCCCCAAAGTTGTTGGTGTATAATTCAAGTTATACATAGTATATAATCTACATCTAAAATAAATTAAATACATTACATTACTGATTATTCAGTGTTTATCATAAAATAATGTTTTTTTTAAATTTCACGTACCCCCTAAGATGTCTTCGCGTACCCCAGGTTGAATACCACTGCTCTAAGGTAACGCAGACATATTCCAAAGGAGTTTATACAGAAAATATTGAACAATCTGCTCACAATATTATTTCTTTTGTAAAAATATGCGCCGTTATTGAAATCCGAAGAAGAAACAGTTTTTTTAGTTGTGAGAGTCTACGAATACGTTTTGTCTCTTCTGATCTTTTGCTCATTTGTTTTTGGGCACTAAAATTTGCTGGAATACGAAGTAGGAGTGGCGAACTTTTTTCGGTAAGCAGAGGTGTAGTGAAACGGTATGAATGGAAGTAAAATTGTCTCTACAACTTTTCGTGTAGACCGCGGTACTAAGCTTAATGGAAATAAATTCAGTAAGTAGTCGTGGAGATTGGACGGATAGCCGTTAATTCCGCATTTCGTTTACGTTTCACGAACTTCGCGCCAAGGATGCGTGTGTCGAATAACTCTTTCGCAAATTAATTTCGAAAGAAAGTCCATATTTGTTTTGTTTACGGTATAAATGCTTCCCTGGACTCTGATCTTGTTTCAAAAATTTCCTCTGATGGCACGTGTTTCTTGAATGAAAAACTGAAGGTGGTGGGAGGCGGACCTTAACCAGACTTAAGCTACTGAACCTTCGTGTAGATCGCACATTTAATCTGGTTCGTAAATGATGTTGCACCAACTAATAAGTGACAGCATACTCCATAACGCTTTCACGTTCCCATTCGCCGATGATAAGGTAAAGGGTTATAAGTCAAAATATACACCAAAATTATGATTATAACTTCAATGACATATCTCATATTACCTGTAGTTAGGAACAACATGACTTCAGACGTAAATATATATCTAAATTATTCAGTCATATATGTAATATAAGTTTTTTTAAGTATTCAGTAAAACTAATTTGTGAAGATTTTCTGAGAGTTGATTTTCATTCCCTGATCTCTGATCGTTCAAGACTTAAACTCCTTAACCCTTGCACCAGTGTATATTTTGTTCGGTTCGTACAGACCTACCAACTATTAGTGGTAAGGAAAGTCTACTAAGACGTCACCTACATTTCAGTCTCACGTTAAACTGCATATAGCATAAGTTTGTTGGTTGACTCAGTTTTGAATAAATTCCACTGGACCACACACATCAGTTTAGAGTGAAAAGCGGTTAATCTCTACATAAGAAAGGTGAAGTGATACTTGGCATAAAATATAATCTAGGTCAAGTTAGCCGTCTGTCCCGTGATTGCATAAGTTATTTATTTTTTTTCTTTAATAACGCTGTCAGTAACTCAAACGTAAGGATACGGCGGTCCTGGAATTTTCCGGTAGAGACTGAGGAAAATTACTGGACTACCGGTCTCTGAGCCTAGATTTAAAAGCCGAACATCCAGACGTTGATGTTGCAGAACGCAGTATAGTTTTCGCCTGTTAATAATTGTTTTATACACGGATATCCTGAGCCAAGAAGTTTTGATTGATTATTTAGTTATTTAATATCTCTGTATTGTATCCACATGAAACTACCTGAAACCAAAATCTTGATGCTCTACTGCCATGCGTGTTATCTCCTCACGGACGAAATTGACATGCATCGTAGATCGTGGAGTCAATAATATAATTCTCTTGCTCTCTTTGCTGTACTCTGAAATTCTTAACCTTTCACAGACAGAATAAATTTATAGTCACGTGTACTATAAAATATTGATAAATACGGGTTAAAGAACGTTGTTACTTTACAAAAGCGATGGCGCATTAATGTTAATAATAAGCAGCAATTACTCTGACGCCATGTTGTCTTATATTTTCCTTAATTATACTCTGTTCACTTTCTACAACAGATTGCATTTGTTAATATGTGTCTACACATGTGACCTTATTCCACAGCCTTTGATTACTTATTGCAATAAAATCTCAATTTCAAGGAAACAGTCTTAACGTTTCTGAAGATATGTAAGTTATGGCGTAGTGCATTATTTATTAAGTGTTTATTTAAAGATCTCAATAGCTCAGATAGTTTGGCGTTAATGTTAGGATTATTAGTGAACGATGAATTGGAATTAATGCGGAAGGAAGCTGCAATGGCCTAACCGACTACACTTTCTCGACATTTACCTGGTGAAACAAAGGAAAATCAAGAAGAATATCGGTTGGATTGGCCGATATCCGGGCAGAGATTTGAACCTGGTACTTCTCGGGAACAACGCACGAATGATAACCACTCGACGCGACGTACGTACGTAACATAATGCTTTAATAATAATGTGCCAGTATTTTTTTCAACAAACTAACTTTTGTTGAAACACCAGTGAGACACTTACTAAGTGTTACATACAGTTATACTGCAACACTCTAAGCACCAATTTTGGATATAATACTGTTGTCTTAAATTTCCTTTTATACGAGCGTATTTTTATACAGAAGGAAGATTATATGAACAGTTATACGCGTGTGAATAAGCCAGGCTTATGAAAATCATTTGGGAATTATTTGCTGGAGAATAGTATTTACAAGAGCAAACTCTTTGTTCATATTTTGTTTGTTTAAAACTATAAGTGTGATACTGATATACGTAATGCACGAAGGTTGCATGCCCTGATCACGATGATAAGTGGTTAGTTTTGACAACATCTGTTTCTCTGGTGCTATAAATCAGCAGATGAATTTGAGGTTATTGGGTCGTTTAACTAGTACAAGTTAATTTATTATCTCACAGATGACGGGAGCTTCTACACAATTATAGATGTGAATACATCTGCACCATGTCGATTATCGACTATTGCGTATTATTCTTTCAAATCTAACTACAATTATGTCACCCTTCACTAATAAACATAAGTGGCTCACTGTCTTATTACAGTTGGGTAAATGCATATTTTCTTAGTTCTATAGTCGCTTCTTGGAGCCTGTGATTATTTAATTTCCAATGTTTATGTTTTTGGCACTCAGTAAATTACTATTTTTATGGGGCAAAAATTTGGCTAAACAATTCACTGCTCACTGAAGACGTGTGTAAGAATTTCACAGTACTCTTCTTGTTTGAGATTTGTGTTGCTATTTAATATGGCACACCCACAGAACTCAGCCTAGCAAAATAAATTCAGAAACATGTATTTTATCTTAGTTTGAAGCCACAGAACAAAACTACCCTCAGATTATCAATCACGACTGTCAGTCCTAAGCAGTAAGAACGATGTGAATTTATCGCCATTCTTGTTTACCATTCAAAGTAGCTACATATCATCAAAGTATCCATAAATGTGTCGCCTTTGATGGGATACTATAGTGATTCTAAGGGATGGTTAATCTAACTGAAGATTATTTCTTTCGTTTCCCGTACAAATTTAGCACAACGTTTTAAAATTTACAATGTTCATTCTTCCAGTTTCTGTAATCGCATCAATCAGCATTAAACACTGAGATTAGCCAAAATAATATTAGCCTTCACTAACCGCAGGTTGCAAAACATAAAGTCTTTCCCTGTCAGTATGCTTATTTCATCTGCACGTGATAAACGACGTTTCTACAATAGAGGCCGTGGACACCGACTCCTAGTGGTCTTTTGGTGTAGAGAAAATCTTATACCAGCATTTTATAATGAAGTAAATATTTTAACCTAAGAGTGAAGAAGTGACAGGGCGGTGGAGAAATCTGAATAATAAGGGGTTGAAGATTCTGGAGGGAAGAGGACAGTAGGAAGACTTCGGCATAAATCAAGTATAGAAAAGTGAAACTTAGGCAAATAAAGTTGAATGGTGTGGATTGGATTCACCTGGCTTAGAATTGGGGCCGGTGACGGGCTCTTGAGAACACGGTAACCGTATAAGGCAGGAAATTTCGTGACTAGCTGAGAGTACTATTAGACACTTAAGACGGATTCTGCTCTACGTAATTTGTTGAAATATAGTTTTAAATTATTTTTTATTTATTAAATACGCTATAAGCGCAGGTTCCAACTGCGGTTCGAATCTTACGTTAGAATGTAATCATTTTAATTTTCATTCCCGTCCTATCAACGGGGGAAAAGAATGAATCCAGCTCAGTGGCAACTTACTCACATTTTTAGATTCTTGTTTTAATCCTTACTAGGCTGGGCGAGGCCAGTAAGTACCTCAACCATCCAATACTCTTTATCTACCGAGCATATTGCGACAGAACGCGATGACATATCAATTTCGGCATGATGTTGTTTATAGGCCTACTTATAGTTCAATGGTCCAATGTCTGGTTCGTGTTGACTGTTTGTTTGTTATTGCGTGTTAGTCTTCGGACAGACATGGATCGTTATCGAATAAAGTTTTACTTTTGCACTCGGCATTGTTGTGAACTAAAGCGGCGGCCATTTTGATGAAGTGAGCGTCATGGCAGTCAGTTTCTATTGAATATGCAGGAGAAGACTTACCTTACAGAGGAAAACCGGTATTTTTGGCATGTTCTTCAAGACACAATAATCGGTAAGAGAGTAATTTTATTTAAGATTCTTCATTTCGAATAAACGCCAGTGGAAAATGCGTTGTGAATTGCACAGGACTGGGAACAAAGTGGCGCCACTTCATGCAAAGACAGTGTTTTAGCAGAGTGCCTTTGGCCACACATGACAATTCATTCAATATATCTGATTTTCGTGAGATATATTTGGAATTGTCGTGACTTCGGTAAGAAATATTTATTAATTCAAACGATTCAGAATTATTGTATAAATTTAGAGGCTATTTCCGTTCACAGCACTGAATAAAATACATCAATCCCATTTGTCTGACTAATTTTGTACAACACAAATAACTGTATTTGAGGAATAGCAATGTTCTTTGTAAAACATTTTCAACAGGTTTCAAAGACATGCCTTAAGTTGGCACTTGTCTATCAGACTTTGAGCCAAGATACGTGTCTTCTTGACTTCGCGATTCAGCGTATTTTCACTTGCATTGTCAACTCGTATTTGCCTGATAATACTAAATACATTGTGTATCCATGAAAATACATGGCCGAGATTAATGTTGTATGAACTATATATTATTACATCCAGTGTCGAGGTTTGGAACAGGTGAAACTATGCCTACATTTTCCCACACGTCTTCACGGCGTACTGTCTGATTAATCACAGGGATAACTTTACCTTGTACCTTTGCTACATTATTGTTGTAAGAGTTATACTTGCCTCAAATGTGTCTTGGCGTAGTTGGAGGATAACTTTAAAATATGTCTTAAATGAAAGAGGGTGAGATAATGAAAACTAATTTCATCTGCTCCAGGCTATGGACAAGTGGTGGCTATTCTAAACAAATAAATTAATCTTAAAAATCCGATTATTATAATCTTTATTCATTTATACATGCATTTTCCTAACAAGTTTTATAACCTTTCCATAATTCTTGTTAAATTTGCTTGAGAGCGAAACGTGTAGGAGAAAACTATTCATAGCAGTAACTTAGGCAAAAAAGGTCGCTGTCGCGTGGTTAGCACCGTTGCTTCGCATTCCCAAGGTTTATGGTAGGAATCTTGGCCCATAAATCGACTTGACTATGGTTTCTCATAGTTTCCTTCAATCTCTGTAGGAAAATGCTGAAATAATGCCTTAAATTCTTAGGCCACGACACTTTCCTTCCATGTACTTTCCAATTCATTAATCATCTTTTTCGATGCTGTGTAGTCTGAGATACTGACAGAGTCATTGAGTAAACCATAGTCCCAACTAAAATTCGCACATGTTGAACGTAAGCGTTTAATTTCAAGCAATAATCGATTATCCTGAACTATTGTCGTTGTTCTTTGTTCATCCAGGTTTAGGTATGAAGTATCTGAATCACTGTTGATCCTCCCACATCCTTCCCTATTCGGCGTTCATAATCATTCTACCATATTTATTATACGCTACATAACCGTAGGAATTTTATACAATATAATAGCCAATGTCCGCCATGCTTGACTCTGCGTGTGTGCCGTTCATGTGATGCGGGAGAAATTGAAAGTAAGTTCTGACGGTGGCGATTCTGGTAGTAATAAATGCAATAAATGCAAAATATGCTGTAGTGGTTCCTATGGCGGAGTCTGCGTTTAGAGGGAACCTGGCTTCAGTCTCATCGTCGTGGTGTTTCCACATTAATTTAGTTTACAAATAAATTGTATAAGTGTTGTATTTTTTGCGATTTGCCACGGTGGTCTAGCGGTTAGAACGCTGGCCTTGTAATCCTGGGGTCTCGGGTTCGATTCCCGGCGGTGCCCGAATTTATAACTTGTGTTGGGCAAGGCCGTGGTCTAGGCAACACGGAGTTTTCCTCCGGGGACTTCCCCGGTTTCTCCGTGGCATCCCAACAATTACTCCATTCACACACACAAGAAGGCAATGGCAAACCACTTCTGGATCATCTGCCAAGAACGTATATGAACAGGTCCCAGTCCGAGAAAAGGATGGAAGGATCCTGTTCATATGGACCTGTCGTCAAATTGTGAATCAAATATTAACGTATTAATGCTCAACACAAAATGATTCATTCTCGTCAACTTTGACAGGTCATACTACTCTAACCATAAAATAACTGGCTAACCATGCAGTTCAACCGGTCTCGTTCACACTCCTCCAGTATTATTCCCGGTCAGTGACCTCGGCAGTTGACAAAATGGTGTTAGCTGTTGGACTCCAGTATAAGTAAATAATAGTTGAAGATGCTGTTGACTTTTTCCCCCTGTGTAGAGTTGGTTTCAGCTGTTCCAATGCTTCTGAGTTTCAAACACTTCAGTCCGTGACTTCGTGCCAAATATTCTGCAGTAAATATAAACCCAACGTCTTCACTCTTCATCACATTGTCTTGCTGCATCTTAATGATGTCGTGGTATTTCCTTTTCCCAGGTGAACTACCTGTAAATTGTAAGTCAACGCAAAAAATCTCTTAATCCTTAATTCAATTCAATTTTTTATTCGTTTCCGTCCCCGGCAACCCAGGAAAATTAATCGAAAAATACATTTTATTTTTAAAAAAATTTAGTTGTATTGTATTTAAAAACATCGCCTGTAAGACTTATGCAGAAGTGAAAGCAAAATTCTATGCTTTCTTACCTTCATCAGTGGATGAAATGAAGACTGTTCGGCCGCTTTGCGCTCGGGGAAGTAGCTCCTGGTACCCATTGGATAGGAGATTTGGTGGGCTTTAGAGCCAGAGCCTGCCTGAACCCCCGGCCTGTATCCCACAGCGAGTCACTTTACCGACTGGTCTTCGAGATTATTTGTTGCTTATTACCTCATGTGTGCATGTTTTCGGCTTGTCGTCACGTGGGCATTGTAATCAACATAATGATTAACTTTAACTTGGCAAATGGATTGAACGTGTTGGGGCCAAATCCTTACCCGTTTACCCCGTTGAAAATTATTTTCTTCGTGACGGATGCCGTCTGTGTGTCTCCTGTGCCAAAGGCCTCTGAATCGCTAAAGGTTCCGATTACACGAGTTACGCAGCACACGTGGACGAGTACATGCGTAGCAGGATTTAAATAGAAGTCGACTATCGTCTAGACCTCTTTGACGTTGCAGAAGAGCACGTGGGTCGCTTATGAACTCCTGAGGACGCACTCTGTCATCAGGTGTAGGTGTCATGTTCCTGTTACCATTAAAATCAAACCTGTACATTTCCGAACTTGTTAAGTAAATCTGTAGTTAGGATACACGTTGGCGTTTGAGCCTTTCTATTATTTATAATATTATCTCCAGAAATAGGTAAAAAAAGTCATACAATCATTCATAAGATAGTACAATTGCGTCATATTGTGAATCAAATATTAAATTAATTATTCGGTTTTGTCCGTCTAATCACAATTATATTTAAAATTTACAAATAAGATAATTAAAATATCATTTTATGTGGAACAATTAATTTAAAGTCATACAAGCAAATATGTCCATTTGTGTTTCACAAAGAATATTCTTTACAGAAGGGCATTCTCAATCAACTGCCCTTCGATGTGCTTCGTGAGACCAGCCTATTCAATGAAACATAATTTTACTTACATGTCAGAAAACACGTATTATTAATGTCGTTATTATTTGGCACTGTGAGGAAATGTTTATCTTTCGAAGGAACATAAAATCAAGAACTAGCAGGCATCTCAAAAATTCAATGCTGATCGCAAGTACAGAAATTAAAACTGATATTTTAAATGATTACTCGAGTAAACATCGGTGCCTAATATCTCACTAATGACTGATTTTATCAAAGAAAATCGTTCAGTAACACGTGGACCTGTTTTAAATAGCAGGCCTAATTATTAGCATTTTAATACATTGCTATGGTGTTGCAATAAGTTTTCCCATGAGTCATTAAGAATGGATGAACGTGGCCCCAGATCTTAAAAGGTTGCGAACCTCTGATCTACGCATTATTGTCGGCTGAACTCCACAATTTCCTTGTTATTACACAATATTCGCACATTGCCCTATCATGTAATGGTTATTCCGCTCACATCACGTCAACAGGATTTAAGCGATAAATAAGCTGTGGACCCGTTAAATCTCCTCCTCTAAATAACACAAATTTGTTTCAGGAGTATGAAGTCCTGCGCAGTCTGCATTTTGGCCTCTGCTTTCATCTTCCTCCTGCTTCAGAGGTAGGTGTGGATAAAGCGTGACTAGAATGTAAAACAAATAATTTATAAACTCTGAATGAATAACGCATATGAGCATATGATATGTCTGTAAACACTTCTCTTCTGTTTTAGCTGTAAGGCTGGTAGTCTTATTTGTAAACCATGTATGGGCAACGATTGTAATTTGGAGCCCGAATCATGCGAACACGGAATTGAACGGGATTACTGCGGCTGGAAAGTGTGTGCCAAGGTACGATCTACATCCGGAGGTTTCGAATTCAACAGCCGGACACTTTTGGTTGGCTAGAATTATCAAGGCCATGTACATTAGTAAGAATTCTAATATTTTCCAGCTTATGTTTTTTTATTTTCTCATTGTTTGACTTTTAACACAGATTGAGAGTGTTTGAGAACAGGATGCTGGGAGAATATTTGGAACTGCGAGGGATGAAGTTTGCAGGAGACTGGAGAAAATCGCATAATGAGGAACTTCATAAGTTGTACTCTTCGCCAGATATTATTAAAATGACGAAATCAAGGAGAATGAGATGGGCGGGGCATTGAGGCTGCGAAATGAGTACAAAACTTTTTTGTTAGAAAGCTTGAAGGGAAGTGACCACTCGAAAGACCTAGGCGTAGGTGGGAAAATAATATTAAAATGAATAGCATAAGTTTCGATTTGATTCGTCTAACTCGGGAGCTCTTACAAACACGACAACGAACCTTTAGATTCTAATTTCTTGAGTACCTGAACGAACTTCTTGCTTCTCAAGAAGGACTCTACTCTCCATGGAGTTAGTTTTTCTTTATATTTCGGACGTGACGCAGTCTCAGAAACTTTACTTTTAAACTAGAAATACGTGGTTGGTGGCCTAAATAAACCAGGGTATAAATATATTTTTTTTATTTAAAGGCCCTTCATTATTTGCTTATGTTATATACCGTAGGATGGAAGGTTAATTTTTTAATTAACGGGTTGAGGATGATGTTGGAGGAAGCGGCCGTGACGTACTTTAAAGAATTTCGAAATTTGTCTGGAGGGATTAAAGGAGGAGTTATTAAACTTCTAAGATCCGAGATTACAAAGACTCTTGCTGATCGACTAGCCATGCCTCCGGTCTATAAACGAGGACAATTTTATGCAATTTCCTACTACAAATATATGCCTAGTAGTTGCTACATACAGGTTCAAATATTACTCAACAATTTTCTTTAAAAACATCAGTTATTAGTAAGGTATTTTACACTGCTTTTCCTTGTTAAATTTTCTAATTAACAGGTTTCAGTTTCTGTTGTTGCAGATCGATTTCTCTACTTTCTTTACAACTTTCTTGTAGACAGAGAACCAGGCGTGTTCGAATTGAATTTTGCGACTTATTTTCATTAATCTTTCTCTCAACAATAACTATTTAATTTGGACGTAACTATATTTTTTGTCATCGAGAATGATAGCATGTCATAAAATGTATGTGGGCCGCACAAAATTTACTAGCTGGCCACAGGTTGAGAACCCGTGACGTAAGCAAGTGAACGCTTCAGTCAGGCTAATCGGTCTTTGATTTTATATTTGGGCCCGACGCGACCGCAATAACAAACACGCTAGCCACTTTTTACTTTCCGAAGTTTGAAAGGGTAAAGGTAACCAAGGATGTGCCTTCAGCACGTCATCAAGGCTCATAGGAGGAGGGTAGAATTATTATTCACACGAGATGGCAGTGATTGTCAGATTAACGCGCC